AAACGTCAAACTATTCCTTTAATACCTTTAGTGAGGATAACTTATTACTGGTTTTCCAAGCAAGTCCAAGCAAGCACATTGATAAAAAGTGACTCAACAAAAAACAAGCATTATTTCATATTCAAGCAGCCTTCACAAGCATGCAGTTCATTACTGTGTCAACTACTAAAAGCATGAGAAATATGGCTGCTCTTCTCTTGCAGGTGTACACACTCAACAGTGACTTTGCTGTTTCTTTATCTTGGAATCTGTGAGACCAGATGTTTAAAGGGTGTTCCTCATAATCCCTCATGTCACATTTAAGTGCTTCTCATTTAGGTTCGAGTGAGCTCTGAGTGGGTCTTGCAGTCCTCAAGTCTTACTCTCTGATAAATTCTCAACGATTCCCTCCATATCCATCGAGGACTCGTACGCCTCAGTGACCAGCTGCGTTTGCTGTAAGACTTCTGGCACGGAGAAACTCTCGGCTGCCTCGGCGTGACCCAGGTTCTGGTTGGACACCACCTCCTCCATGACCGCCTCACTCGGCTCGATCACCACCCTCACTATGCAGCTAGAAGTGAGGCCTGTCCCGGAGTCGGGCTGTGGGTTTGTGGATTCCTGGATGTCGGCGGACTCTGAGACGTAATCTGTCTCCTCCCCGATCAGCGAGCCTTCCACCGCTTCAGTGGTCTCGGTCTCTCCAGGACTTCGGTCCACATCCTGCACTATCACGTTCCTCAGTTTTCTCTGCCGGGGGTTGTAGTTCTCAGTGCGTTTGTGGATTTGAATGTGTCGTCGCAAGTGTGCCTGGAAGAGGAAGCGTGTAGAGGGGGTAAAAATGCAGTAAGTATTGATTCAGCCCGAGTAGAGTTGAAACATTTAGTCAATTAATAGACAAACTTAAAAAAATCATTTTAAGAAAAAAACAGTTCTAGTTCCAGCGTTTAAAATATGAGGATTTGTTGCTATTCTTTGTCTATTGTGAAGGGAAATAAAAATATAATTTTGAGTTTGGACTGCACAAATGAATAACCCCAATATCCCACCAGGAAGTTGCAATGTGTCAATCCCAACAATAAACACAAACTCAGCCAATCTCTGTGAATTCTACGCAGCTTTGCAATTTTGTCCACTCACAATTCAGGTACATTCTCTGCTTTTACTTCACACAAAGGCTACCATGCCTGTCCACAGAAGGCAGAGGCTCACATTGGATCACTGTGTGAATACTGCTGAACACCGGGCTTCCCCATAGCCTCAGTGGCCTAATGGATAAGGCACT